CTTCAGAGGGTTCAAAATGCTGCTGCACGTCTTTTAAAAGATACATGAAAATTCGACCACATTTCCACTGTTCCTTCACTGGCTGCCAGTACATTTTAGGATTGATTTTAAAATTATGTTATTTGTTTTTAAAACTCTTAATGGCCTTTCCCCTTCTTATCTGTCTGAGCTGCTGCATTCTTACTCACCCTCCCGTTCCCTCAGGTCAGCTGATCAGTTGCTCCTGAGAGTCCCAAAGACAAAATGCAAGCTCAGGGAGGACCGTGCTTTTTCTGTGGCAGCTCCTACTGTAAGCTGTGGAATGATCTGCCTCTGAGCATAAGACAGGCCTCTTCTCTTGCTGTTTTTAAGTCCCTTCTTAAGACTCATCTTTCTTCCTTGGATTTTGGCACAATTTGAGAGGTTTTACTTTGTTTTATTCTCTTTGTATACTGATATTGTAAATGGTAAATGGCATGTACTTATATAGCGCCTTTATTCAAGACAGGAGACTTGACCAAAGCGCTTTACACTACAGTACATTCATTCACCCATTCACGGACACACTCACAGACTGATGGTGGCAAGCTACATTGTAGCCACAGCTGCCCTGGGGCTCACTGACAGAAGCGGGGCTGCCGTACACTGGCACCACCAGGCCCTCTGACCACCATCAGTAGACAATGCAGGTGAAGTGTCTTGCCCAAGGACACAACGTCACTGAAAGTCGGAGTCGGGGCTTGAACCCTCAATCCTTCGATTTCAGGGCAAACTCCTACATCCAACGCCACTGTCGCCCCTGTATGTATTTTATGACTGTATACAGCACTTTGGTCCTGTCCGGTGCATAAAGTGCTTCATAAATAAAGTTGGTATGATAGTTGGTAACCATTTTTTCCTTTTAAGTTGTAAAACACGAAAGGTTAAATATATTGGTTTGTTTATTTTTTATTTTGACAATATTAGAAAACATAAGTTCCAATTGTAGTTTGCACATTGTGTTAACTTTTGTATGTTTTTGTTAAATGCTTAATATTGCTTGTGCTTCCTTTTCTGGTGACGTGGAGTGTACCTTCAACTGGGAGAATGCAAAGAACTCTGGCTGGCACTCATTGACTGATTGGGTGATACCATCTGGAGTTCCACTATGGGGTAAGACTATGGGGTTCACATTTTGATTTGCTGCATAATCTTTTTGTTCTTTTGCTTTTGTGAGTTACTCAGATTTTATTTTTGTTAAATCTGTGTAGATGTTCTCCCTACCTCTTGCTCAGTGTATCAGTCTGGTCTGATCCGCCAGTATTTAAGTCCCCTTTGTTAGCTGTGTGTCAGGTCAGTTTTGTTTTTGATAGTGCAGTTAGTTTAAGGCATTTTTTTTGGCTAAAGTTAGTCTCTTCATTTGACCTCTTTTAAGAGCCCTGTCATTATTGTTTGGATTCCTGTTACTTTAGGGAAATAAAACCAATTTTCTTAAAAATCACCACTGTGTCCTCATGCTTGGCCGGCTCCGTCCCTCACACACTATGACTCACATGGGGTGACTGGGTTACTGTGAAGGTAAAACAAGTATCTATCAAGGTCTATATGTGACCACAAAGGTAATTAGCAAACAGATCTCATGCTATTTCCCAAACTAATTTTTATGCAAAAGACATTTTTACAGTGTTTTGACACTGTTACTCCTTGATTATAAATTATCAATTTACCTCCTAGGAATGCAATTTGACCACACCCCCCGCGCAGAGGTTCTGCAACTGTCATCGCTCACCTAAAAAAAATCCTGACTACACGTCACACGGTCCAAATCCACGCAGACCTCAAGTGGAAGTGCACAGACAAAAAGCAGATTCGGTGCCGGGAGCGCCATTTTTTAAAACCAACTACAATGGACAACTACGATGAAAGGTTAATCTGTCTTTTTGCCAACTCTATTAACAGAACCTGTTCCCCTTTAATGTCTAGCAGCTGTAGATCAATCTCCATAACTGTGATATCTTGCAGACGTGCCATTGATGTTTTGGAAGATAAATAGTACCACCGGCGCCACCAAAGTCCTCGTGACCATCCGCCGAAGTTCTCGTGAGTTCTCGAATAGGCTCCCGCTTTTGCTTTGGCGGGAAACTGCCATGTGTCCCTAGAAATTCCAGACCCATGGTGCAGAAGCATACCAGCAAAACTGGTTCAAGACCAGACCCAAGTGACATTTGATGTTTGCGGTTGCAGAAGTCTAATCTGCCCTTTAGGGCTGAAAGTGTCCTGATAATCTTTAGCTGGATTAATCAAAAGTAGTCCAAACCAAATTTCTCCTTTTTTTAAGCGACTGGCATGTGATTTTTATCAGCATAGTTATCACACTTTAGTGTTAGATTAAATAATGTTAGTTTTGGATCCTAGTAGCAGTATCAGAGTAATCATTGTGTTGATGGCACAGATTTGAAGTAAACCCACATGTGTGAGAGCTGTGGAACTCCTTCCACTGGGTATTAACACCTTTCCAAAAAATCAGTAACAGCCTGCTTTATATGTGAGCTGATTATGTATGCTATAGTGTTGAATGTGTAGTAAGCCGAGTGCAGAACTGTATTTTTTATGTTTTTTTCCATACTGTGATCCTGAAATTGCATTCAATGTGATTAGGGTATAAAATTTAGATAACCTTGCCATTCTCGCCAAATACCAATCCAAAAGCCTCTTTTCCATTGAAAGCATTGCGATTAAAGCCCCTTGATTCGTTTTACACCTGTCTTTCCAGGTAAAAGGAATTTCTTGGTCTGAGAAAAGTTTTATATTGATGTTGGTGGATTGAGATGATAAAAACAGTAAAACAGTTTTTAGTCTTTACTCAGTAAGACATAGATTTATTATAACAATCTTGTTTGCTTAAAGTTATGCTGTTGATTAATTTCTTCTTCTAATATGTAAACAGATTTACATACATTCATATATATATATATATGCTGGCATCAACATCTTCAATTATAGATGATAGAGTTGGGCCTATTTTTCAGTACGTAGTCCTGTTTCCATCTTAGGCATAGATCAGCTTTTACAGTGACTAAAAGTATGTTAGCATGAAAAGCAGCTTAGAGCTCATCTGCTAAACTATTTATTTTCCAGTAAGAAACAATAATGGAACTAGTTTACCTTTACCTTCTCTAACCTTACCTTCTCTTAAAATTTTAAAATCTATTTATAGATTAGTGCTTCTATATTTCTTGTGATTCTGCTTTCCTTGCCCTGGGTTGAAAGCTGCTAACACTGGTTAATGTGACCAAAATCAGTATCCCTGCAATTTGAAAATTGTGCTTTGATAAATTTCGATCATATTCTAAATACAACTAATTACGCAGCTCTAGTGACCATAAGAACACATGAAATGCTCGATCTTCCACCAGCTTGACACATTTTTTGGACATTATTTTGAAGTGTTAGAGGAAGTTATTTAGCTCTCCTCCTGACATGTTGATAGAGAAGCATGAAAAAGGTTTACACTAGTTTAATCATTAATCTGACATAATCTTGGATACAAAATACATATATTAGAGATTCTGAGATGTAATTCCTTATTGGCTCCGTATTAGCCATTAATGACATTAGGTTATGAATCTTCTTTTGTACTTCCTGTTGGTGCAATACTTTGGCTAAAGTATAATTATTATAAACAATAATAATCACTGTTTATTATTTTTAATATAAGGAAAAATATTTGACATTTAAATTTAACTGTTGATAATAAAAATAAGTATTTACAAGTTTTGAATAAGAATATCTACTACAAAACATGACTAATCATTCCGTGTTGATTACATTCACAAAAACAGATGTCGCCAAAAAGTTTAATTGAATCCTAATTAAAAAAACAATTACAAACATTCATATTAATCACCACTTCTTATCCACTTGTTAACTTTTTAAAAGAAGAAAAAGGGCAGGTAGATAAGGATACGATATTTTCATGAGTCACTTATTTTTAGACTACCAAACGGAAGTATTGCATTAAACATGAGAAGAAAAAAAAACTTTGCCCTTGCCGTCATTTCTTAGAAATAATCAACTGTTGATGGCCTTTATGTGTTGTCATCTTTGATTTAGAAGCACTGGGATCCCTTTGAGAAATGAAAATCAAACACAGTTGCAGCAGTGATACAGTCACATCAAACACACAGAGAGCCACTTGTTGTATAAAGGAATGAATATGCATTAATTATGATTTCCTAGTCTTTTGCTCTTAAGCTTCAGGACTCTTAAAGAAGTGGTCTAAGTCATCTCTTATCTTTTCTAATGTCAATATTGGCTTTTAGGTAAACTATAACTCCCTGAAAGAGGTGTTAAGACATTAAAGGCTTTACTAAAGCAGAAAAAAAACCCTGTAAAGTGACATTGATAAGCAGAATGTTGAAAAACAAACAACAAATCAAACCTAGTTAGAACATAAAACAGGCCAACAAATAAACTCCAACATCTATTAGGTGAGACAGGTAAAAACTAAACTTGATTGTTATCTATTCATTTAAGAACCAAAAAGAAAACTTGAAGAGCGGTTTAGGCAAAAATATTTCACTAAAATGTTGATATCATTATATGAGCAGAGGCATAAATAAAGATTATGTAGATTTTAAAACAAAACGCAAGCATATAGCTTCAAATACCATGGATTATGCAGGGTTGGATTTTCTAATTTTTATCATGCTCCCTGTTGGTGTGCAGTGCAGTCTGAGAAATCCTTTATAATTTCTACGCAGCTCAAGCAGAGCATGCGGTCATGATAATGACATGTCCTCACAGGTAATTCCCTTAAGAAATATGCTTCCGCAGCCCATGTGTCCTTGGAGACATCAGAGCACAAAAATACAGCCACATCCGTCATGAAGCTGCCTGCATGTAAAGATGCTCCCTTCTTTCCCGTGTTTACAACAAGCAGAGAAAAACATGAACGGGAAACGAGCTTTCACCTGTCAACCCCCCCAAAACGGTCCACAGCATGATGAGAGGCGAAGGAACCATCGTTGGTCCCCACTGACCTGGATCGTGCAGGTGTACTCCGAGTCGTCCAGCAGCCTCACCGTGCAGTTGCATTCCCTGTCCAGACTCCTGACGCTGCTGCTCATCAGGCGGCTCAGCATCTTCTCAGTCGTCTGCAAACGGGACCACGGAGAAGCGCGCACTGCACATAGATAAGGGGCGACTTTGTGTCAGGTTAACGGCGCTCCCCCTCCTTGCTCCAACACCTGGTCGGCGGGAGTGACTGGTGCATCGTTTAATCATCAGTGTGTCAGTGTCTCCATCAGGACCGCGTTCTGACTCAGACAGGACAGGAGAGCAGAGATGCTGCAGCTGGTCCCAGCGCTCTATGGAGGGCGGTGATGCTGTTGCGCTCCCAGATCCGGGTTCTGTCCTACTCTCAGTGCTGCTGGCTGCTGAATGAGGAGCCTGTCAGCCAGCTGAGCTGAAGCTGGGATGGTGCCTTCACAGACATAACGACAGGAGGCGAAATTCCGATAGGCTGCTGTACGTCGTGACGGCAGACACTTAGTCCAGCATAATACCATGCAGGGCCTCCACTTCTAACAAGGCAAACTTTTAAGGAATACATTGATCCCAACACAAAAATGTTTCAAATGTTTACTGTTATTATAGGGAGACTTTTAGTTTTCATGGGGGCAATGGCGTAACCAAGGGCGTAGGTTTGATTTGAACTTTGGTAGGGACACTATTGGTCTGGTGTCATTGGTGCTATGCAATATGCATGCCCTTTTTTATGCTCGATGTGAGCATCCGTAGGCCTACTGATAAGAGGAATTCATTGTTAAAAGAAAAAAGCAACATTTTGCTCCACTAATAAAAATGTTATAAGCTCTACACTCATTATATGCTGTTTATCAATGTTTGAAGTATCACTGGCTCTGATCAATGTGGAATTAGGACTGTTTTCCACTTTGAAAACGGTTTGATTTGAACGACTAAGAGAGAAGGTAAATACAGTATTTTCTTCTGAAGATATAGAATTGTGCAGAGTTAAACCCCACTGTTATATTTGTACCTACCATTCTCTCTCTGTATCAAGCAAAATAATACAATCATTAAAATATTAACTTCACTATAAAAGTTGAACATCTGGGCTGTAGTTACTCTGTGTCGCCCATTTCATGTATTTCATCTGGGGCTGAAAAAAATTAATCATATTAATTGATTATTAATCAATTCAATTCAATTAATCAATCTTAGCTGTGGCTAAGAATCAGAAATGTTGATGGCTTACAGCCTTTATTTGCCCATTTTTGCCAGCAGTCTTCAGAACTCCTGGCTGACTCAGAATATTTCGTTTTATAAAAGAAAAAAAAAGGTTTTTGTTCTTTACTGAACATGATATTATTTTTTTTTTTATTGGGACTAGTTTTGTAGCCTAATATTAATTGTAGTAACCGCTGCATTCTAATGTGAATACATTTTCAATGTTGTGCTCCAAGCACACGCGGACTAGAAAACAGCCAATCAGAGAGAGAGAAGGCGGAACTTAAGGCAGAACAACTAATGAGAGTGGAGTTAAACAGCGCAGCACAGTTCCATGCGCTGCTACATGAAAGGGACAGGAGAGACCAGGCAGAGGAGCTGCGAGAGGAAAAGAAGCCACTGCTGCAACAACTACTGCTGGAAATTATAAACATGTTGCTCACATCCAATTATTGGTCGGGACAATTAGGTCGGTTCAAAATTTTGTTAGGGACATGTCCCTATGGTCCCTATGCAAACCTACGCCCATGGGCGTAACTATCGGTAAGCAGAGACTGCAGTTGCTTAGGGGCCCCCGACCTCTTAGGGGCCCCATCACTGACACCTGGTAGGCTACCTACACAATTAGATGTCTCTTTGCACATGTAATGGTGCGAAAAATGTATCTGAACTCCATCTGATATTCCAGTATATGACTGTACTGTTTTTATACCCCAACATATGGCAGATTTCAACATAATGGAGAGCGTTTAAACAAAACACCACTTTTAATTAGTATGTTAATAACTGTGTATAGTTCATTAGACTGTTTGTCAAAAATGCACTCTTATAATATGTTTCAAACAGCAATAAAGATCTTAAAAGAAGGATGTATTTGAGTATTTTATTTTTTACACTACAACTTGGAATTATGGGTAATCCAGGGCGTAGATTAAAACCATAACCATTACACACAATGTGTTAGCGACCATGGATACCAAGAAGAGGTACTTAAGCGGATTTCAGAAAAGAAAAAGCAAAGAAGAGCTGCTGGAAGAACAGAAAAAAAACTTCCCAAAATAAACATGTTCTTTCAAAGAACCGAAGAGGGAATGATGGACGTTGCTGCTACAGTGATTGAAGATTGACCAGGAGATGAATGGAGAGAGCATTTGTGAGGAGGGGGGCTGTGAAGCTGAAGGTACCTCAATAAGACTCATTTTACAGCAGAATACACTAAAGTATATCCATGTCTAGCGAAGATGAAGAATGATGAAATGACATGAGAGGTGCTGTACTTCATATGAGGCCCACCCATTTAATGTTGTTTACGGGCCTATTGTTGGGTCATTACGCCATTGTTCAGGTGCCAACTACTGATCTATATTATACAAGATAATAGAAATATATTTGTTCTCAATCTGCATTCACCTATCAGTGTGAGGGTACATTGGGGCAAAAATACATTTAGTCAGCTGCTGGCTTTGCAACTTCTTAGAAAGTTGAGAGCAATCTGTCATTTTCATCACGACACACTACAACTGTCAGAGACAAAATTAGAAAAATACAACAGGAAATCACAATGTAGGAAAGAATGTGTCTATTATGGTAGTATTTGGTAATTAACCAAAGTTGCACTCAAAACTATATATTGTAACCTTTGTTTGCAATGACAGAGGACAAATGTTTCCTGACCAGGTTTGCATACACTGTGGGGTCATGGGGTCAAGCTCTGTTGACTGGATCTTGAAATGCTTTTTAAGCGCTCTCCTTCATTAACCACATGGTTTAGTTGGGATCATTGTGATGATGGAAGACCCACACATACATTTTATCGTCATTGCTCTCACCAATGGAATGAGCTTTGTGTCACAAGGCTCAAAAAATAAAGGACTCAAATGCAAGACCTGACACAGTGGATTAAAACTCAAAGTTCCTTTAATTCAGTCCAGGGTTGACCACCAAAAAATGCAGGAGAAACAGAAGTATAAAAAAACGGAGGCAAAGACAGGTCCAAATCCAAGCAGGGGTCAAAACACTAGAAAGCTAAATCTAACAGGCAAAAAGGCTGGAACGCTAAGCTCAAAAGACAAAGACGAACTTGCAAAGGGAAGCTGCAAGGGTGGGAACTAAATGCTCTAACAAACAAAAGAGGATCACATACACCAGGTGAATTGCATTAGGCTGTGGCAGGAACTCAGGAATAGAAGCTGCCTAAAATGAGAGAGGAAATGAGTACCAAAATAAAACAGGAAGTGAAAAGACAAGGTAGAAAAAGTGACATCAATCTAATCAGGACTGCCCCTGACACTTTGGGCTTAAAATCTCACCATCTATGGCACCTGTTCAGTCGTCCCTCAACATGGAGCAGTTTTCCTGCCACCTTTGTAGAAAAACAGCCCCAATGCATGTTGTTTCTACTACCATGCTTTACAGTAGGTGGTAAATGGCATGTACTTATATAGCACCTTTATTCAAGTTAGGAGACTTGATCAAAGCACTTTACACTACATTCATTCACCCATTCACACTGATGGTGGCAAGCTACATTGTAGCCACAGTTGCCCTGGTGCTCACTGACAGAAGCGGGGCTGCCATACACTGGCGCCACCAGGCCCTCTGACCACCATCAGTAGACAATGCAGGTGAAGTGTCTTGCCCAAGGACACAACAACACTGAAAGTCAGAGTCAGGGCTTGAACCGTCAACCCTTTGATTTCAGGGCAAACTCCTACATCCAACGCCACTGTCACCCTAAAGCTATGGTGTTCTAACTCAGTATTCTTCTTCCTACCAACACAGTGAATTGAGTTTGTGTCAAAAAGTTCAATTTCGGTTACATCTAACAGATCATATCTCCCAATCCTGAGGTGGGTCATCAGTATGCCTTCAGGCAAACTTCAAACAGGCCAGGACATGAACTGGCTTAAGCAGGGGGACACGCCTATAACTTCAAGATTTGAGTCCTTCTTAATGTACTGTGGTACTGGTGGTAGCCTTTTTTACTTTGGTCCCAGCTCTGTGCAAGTGATTCATAAGGTTTCTCAGTGTAGTTCTGGAATTCCTCATTCTCCTGTAGCACATGAACTAGGAAGTCTGTAATTTCCCCAAGCAGCAGGTCTGGGTAAACTGTGTATCCACCATGTTTCTTCTCTCTCCCACAACAACAGCACTTGAGCATAAATTGCTGGTAATTTCCAATTTACAAGTGGAAAGGTTCATCTTTACTAGACCACATGAATTCAGCATAATGTTGAGAGAGAGAAACTTTTTTTGTAAATTTCGCACAAACTCATTAGAGAAAGAACACATTACAAAGGCTGAAATAACAAAACTCTGTGCTTGGGTTTTACTTCTGTTCAGATTTAACTAAGATGCACAAAGTAATAAATGGTTCCAAGTACCAGTCATTTTAGTAACTTCAATTGATTACTAGAATCAGAATCAGAATCGGGTTTATTGCCATTGTTAGTGAAGGAGTTCACAACTAGGAATTTTTTATGGTACAATCGTGCAACATGAAACATATATGAAATAGTAAATAAAATTATAAAAAACTCTAAAAAGAAAGCTGAAAGCTAGAAAGCTGAAGGTTACTGGAACAGTAATATATGCCACCATACTGATTAAATTCAGGTAGGTAGACATTTAAGACTGACCAAAAAATATTTCATAGGAGAAAATTTTAAAGCCAGATTAAAAAAATTAATCTGATAGATAATTTCAGCTATTTAATGTTAATGAATATATGCAACTTCAAAATATGGCATGTTATGATAGGGTCCACATACTTGCACAGAATTTTACATGATAGAATGTTACATGTGAAAATAAATGAAAATAGCTTAATGTTTTGGTTAAGTTTGTTCTTCTAACAGTCCTGATGGTAATTGTTGAGGAAACTACCAAAACAACTCCTCCAATTGGAGTAAAGAATTCCCCTTGCCCTGTTGGAGCAGTCCATATTTTTCAATGACATTTCCATCGGTCTTTTACTGGTTATCTGTATTAATCATAAACTGATAAAATGTTCTTTTAAAAACCTTAAGTGGTCTAAATTATGATATTTTTTTAAGCATATCAATATTACCCTCACGTAATTAATTGCATCTGGATAGTCTGAAATTTCTAATCTTGCCTTGTCTTTGGTTTTTATTTATTTGACTGAATAACACATTTTGAATTTTGCACTTTACAGAAAACAATCCCACATTGGAAATAGGCAAATTTTCCGTTTGCATGACCTATGTCTCCCCCTGGTGATAACTTGGGGGTAAAAACCAGTGAACGTGGAACCCCCCCTCAAATAAAAAAAAGAAAGAAAAAAATATATCAGCCTAGAGAAGAAATTAGAAACTTGCAATATTGAGGTTTTACAAAAACGTGGACCTGAATTGTCTCCTACTTACGTTTAAACTGCACGATATAGCAATTTAGATTGTAATGTCCATGTGAAGTGCATATGAGTCAAATCGTGCCCTCTGAATTATTGTGCTCTGAATTATTGTGAGACAACTGTGTATGTATTTATTATACGAGTACTAAAAAAAAACAAATTTGTTTTGTCGGTATCAAAAGAATAAAATACAAAAAGTGAGCCCATCTGCCGTGACATTGTTTCGCAATGCCGTGACCCGGATTCGAACCGGGGTTGCTGCGGCCACAACGCAGAGTACTAACCACTATACGATCACGGCGAGCTACGATGGGCTCTCGGAGACCTAGTGATACAAATTTGAACTTATTTGTGTGCCTCACAGTTTTCACTGCTGTTGTGTGTCAGTTTGCTATGTACTTTTTGTTTGTATTGCTCATGAACATGAATGCGTAATGAATGTCTATTATATAACTAAAGTACGTAAAAACAGTTATTGAAAATGCTGTCACAGTTTGGGCTTTAGTATAATATCGCCACCTGGAGGTAGGATCAGCGAAGTGCCACGGAGCGGACGTATTTTCCATTTCCTGTTTTCTTCTGATTGGCCAATTTCACTCTATACGTAGCAGTTACCCGTTTTGTAACACGTCCAACGTGCAGGTTACAAAACGGAGATTTGTTCATTACACAAAGCTGCATCATATCGGTGGATATAGACAGTGGTGCAGGTAAGTTAAGTAAAACTCTATGTTGGATGTATATTTATTTAACTTGTATTTTCCTTTGAAACGTCGATGGGAATAAACTGGTGCGTCCTGTCTTTGTGCATCCTTAGTTGCAAGATGCTTTTTATAAGGTGCATCTGATTCAGTGAGTTATGATAGAAAAAACATGAATTTAAAGGCTTTTCTACAATGCATTATAGATTTATCAGCAAATGTTTGATGAACTGAATGTTTTACTGAACAACTTTGTTTTTATGGTGAGATTTTAACAGATTTGTTTCTCTCCTTTTTGAAATAATGCATTTACAGGCTACCAGCAATGGCTCACGTGTGCATCCATTGGTTCCGTAAGGGACTCAGGTTACATGACAACCCAGCACTTATTGCTGCCCTGAAAGACTGTAAGGAGCTGTATCCTGTGTTTATCATGGACCCAAATCTTCACAGCAGTGAGGTGGGCATCAGCCGCTGGAGGTTTCTCATTGGAGCACTCAAAGACCTGGACTCCAGCCTGAGGAAGCTCAACTCCAGGTAGAAACATGGACACAACTTAAAAAATTATCTAAAACTGGTATTTTCTACAGTAGTTAACTTACTGTGGTTGGATTTGTTAAGACTGTTTGTTCTGAGGGGGAAACCAGAGGAAGTGTTCCCAAAGTTGTTCAGCAAGTGGAAGGTAACAAAGCTGACATATGAGTATGACACAGAGCCGTACAGTCTGAGCCGTGATGAGAAAGTGACCAGTCTGGCTAAAGAAACGGGAATTGATGTCATCTACAAAATCTCTCATACTCTCTACAATATAGAGAGGTTAGTTTCATTCTAAATACCTCGAAATTGTTTTAATGAGCCGCTTTTCCTCTATTTTCCTGCATAATTATTTTATATCTTTTGTTGGTTGTTGTTTCTCTATAGGATAATTGAAGAAAATGATGGGAAACCTCCTCTTACATACAAACGCCTGCAAGCAATAGTTGCAAAACTTGGTCCACCCGAGAAACCAATCCCTGCTCCAACCTTGGATGATATGAAAGGTATGTTGCAAATGGATCCAGCCAAGTTTAGTTTAAACATTTTCTTACTGAATTAATATAATGTCCTGAGTGTCAAAGTCTGACGTCGTCTTTCTGTTATCTACTGAAGACGTTAAGACCCCATGCTCAGAGAAAGATGAGAAGAAATATGGGATTCCGACACTAGAGGAGTTTGGTCTGGACTCAACGTCTCTTGGAGAGGAGCTGTTTCCAGGAGGAGAACAGGAAGCTCTGAGGAGACTAGATGAACACATGAAAAAAACGGTACAGGTCTCCCACTTGATTAACACTGATACTGACCTGTATAACTGTGCATTGGAAGGGATGGATTCAATTCATCTGTAGGGTTAAAAAAGAGGCTCAGGATGCACGCTCACAAAACACTAAATCAATTAAAATGTATTCTAACAGAACAGGAAGATGTTAATCTTCTAAAAAATCTAAATAATTTCCTTTTGATAATATTTTGCAGATTTATTTATTTTTTTACTGAAAAAAAAGGCTTATTGTGGTTGTAACATGGCAAAAATGTATAATTGTTGTGCCATTGAGGGGTTATATGTGTTTTAATGTGTTTAATTCAGGGATGGGTGTGCAGCTTTGAAAAGCCGCAGACCTCTCCAAACTCCCTGAATCCCAGCACCACGGTCCTGAGTCCATACGTCACCTTCGGGTGTCTTTCAGCGAGAACATTCTGGTGGAGGCTCACTGAGGTGTATCGGGGGGTAAGTTTCACATCACTGCAGTCTAAATTAAAAAAAAATATTCCATTTGAAATAAAACTGTTCAATTAGTAAGTCTAACTCGTTGGTTTAACTTGCATGTAGAAAAAGCATTCAGATCCTCCAGTGTCTCTTCATGGTCAGCTTCTATGGAGAGAGTTTTTCTACACCTGCAGTCTGGGAATTCCTAATTTTAACAAGATGAAGGGCAACACGGTGTGCACACAAGTCGATTGGGACACAAACCAAGACTATCTAGCAGCATGGAGAGAGGTAGTTTGATTGAAAGCTGCTCATTTCTAACTAGAGATTATTTGTGCTTCTCTTCCCATTAACTTTTAATCATTTTCTTATTCTCTCAAGGCCAGGACTGGATTCCCCTTCATTGATGCAATTATGACTCAACTGAGGCAGGAGGGCTGGATTCACCACCTGGCCCGACATGCTGTTGCCTGTTTCCTGACAAGGGGAGACCTGTGGATCAGCTGGGAAGAAGGACAGAAGGTACGTATCTTAGCTTATATGTACAAACCTTTTTTTTTTTATCCATTGAAAAAAACTGGAAAAAAAGAAACAGCTTGTAAGCTGTAACATGGAAGCTTTCCATAATTTTGTCTCTCTGCAAGAGAGCTCCCATTTGCAGGACATTTGTTACTAATAAAACATGCTTCCTCTGCCTAAGGTTTTTGAGGAGCTCCTGCTGGATGGTGATTGGGCTCTGAATGCAGGAAACTGGCAGTGGCTGTCTGCAAGTGCCTTTTTTCACCAGTTTTTTAGAGTTTATTCCCCCATCGCTTTTGGTAAAAAGACGGATAAAAATGGAGATTACATTAAGTAAGATTTTTTTCCTCATTATACTTAAATAACAGGGAAATTTAAATTACTTAACTATTTACCTGATGTTTATACAGGAAGTATCTTCCCCTTCTGAAGAAGTTTCCACCTCAGTACATTTATGAGCCTTGGAAAGCTCCCCGCAGTGTCCAGCAAGCTGCAGGATGCATTGTGGGCAAAGACTACCCCCATCCCATTGTGCAGCACGAACAAGTCAGCAAGAAAAACGTTCAGAGGATGAAGGAGGCCTATGCTAGGAGGTCTACGGCTAGCAGTGAGTCACCTATCAAAAAACAAGGTAATGTAGTTCTGTAGTAATGTAGTTCTCATCCAGATTAGCTCACAGTTACGTTAACCCTGCTTACTGATAGTTACTTCTTGTTTTTAATCATAGGTGAGAAGAGAAAGAGTTTGTCAGTCGTTGACATGCTTCAGAAGAAAGCCAGAAAAGAGTAATGGGATACAAAAATCAGGTTTATGCTCAATGCATTCAGCGACATTTAGATGAAGTCGGATGTTAATGGATACTTTAATAAATACTCTTCTTTATTGTATACACTTTGGATATGTCCGAAGTTCTGTTGTTTCCCCCACTGTATGTACGGTTTAAAGGTAGGTGTTGGGTGAAAGAAATTACTTTAAATGCAATTTAAGTTTTATTGAGGGACAGCAAGAGAATTGAGAAATTGAACATAAAAATCCAAAGACATAATTTTATAAAATGCATTTTTACTGTACTTTTTTTTTTTTTTTTTTTACAATATTGAATATTGTTAAATTACTATCAGTGAGGAACAAGTTGAAGAACTGTATAAGTTTAAAAAAAAATTTTTTTTGCCTTTAGTGCTACAATAAATGCCTCATTGTTATATATTAAGATATTTGTCCATTTTAAATGAAGATGATACTAAAGGTTATTTGTTTTTGTCATCTTTGTTTTTCCAAGAGGAAAATGTTCCCATGTTCATTCTGGCTGGTGGGCCTTTCATGTTTTGTCCACTAGAGGTCACTGTAGTTCAGCTTGCAACTATTCATGACACAAACAAGATGACCATTAAAAATGACTTATTTTACTTTTTATGAATACGTTTTTGAAAAACATTGAAATTTTATAAATCAATTATTGATCAGTTAAACTCAGTTAATCTTTGTTCTATTTTACCTACTTTCTGATTTATTTATGCTTGGCAGAAAATAGCTTTTGGATTAAGAATAATGCCAAATATCCCTTTAATACATGATTACTGCGGCTCGGTTAGAATATCGAAGCACATTTGATATGTTTAGAGTTTGAGCTCGGCACAGGGCAGTGTGAGACCAGCGGGGCTACATAAAGGCAATGTGAGTGTGTCTATGTGTGTCACACAGCTGTTCATGGTGGTCAAGTCTTCTCCTGTTTCTCCTTCCTTGGACACGATACTGACGAATATCAAGAGGATGATGTCACAGCCTCAGCAGCGAGGCAGACGGCCGTACAAAGCTGAGCTCAGTTTCCACAGAGACCCGTCAAACATCAAAACAAGCTGCTGGTCAACAATGTATGCCCATGAAAGTGGGTTTGTTTTGTTTTTTGGGTTCACTTGGCAAATGACATCTTATATATCAAAACATCCTGTGCCATTTATGAAAACTGGCTGTCTGTATTACAATTTTGATGTATATATTTTTTTGGATCTTGCAAAAGTTGCTACCAAGTTCAGAAGGATTCCTAAATCTGTGATAAACATCCTATCTGTAGCTACACATACCTGCCCCTAGTTATTCTGGCCTGGTCTTCCTCCTCTGCATCTGTCAACACCTCACCACTCAAACCATCCAGGATCTTGGAACTGAAGATCCCACCTGAATTAGAACAGCTTGTTCCCATACAACTTAGGTTTCACATAACTTTATTATGTGAAATTTCTCTCGCGAATAATTACATGTATATTGGACATCAAAGAACTTCCTTGAATTTGATATTAACTTTATGAAGACTTAAGACAATTAAGCAGGTCCTGTTTTAGTTGAAACCAGAGGTTTATGTGGTCTGTAAAAAGATGTGCAATGAAAAAAACGTTTTGTTTAACCGATATTAACTCAAAGTTCATTTTTTTTTTTTTTTTTTTTTTTTACTTGTTTTAAGCAAGTGAGGGGGTTCCCAACATTGGCATTTCTTTTAAATACCAATATAAATTTCTTATTACCGTAATATTTTGTGAAATGATTTTTACTTTTTTTATTTTACTATTACGTGTGTATTACCTGATGAGCAAGAAGACTTTAAAAGAGTTATCTTCAAGGTCAGAGGTTTACATACATTTCCTGAGTGGTTGGTAGAATTGCTAGTGTTGTAGTCAAGACCAAACCATCTGAGACCAATGAGTGCAGAGACAAGGCCAAGACTATATAAGATCTTACCCTTGCCTCAGTCTCTGTACTCCTTGTTCTTAATTGGTGTGGTCTTGAATACAAGGGTCACATGCATTTTGATTACTCTTACTTCCGTTTTCATAATAGTTTGTTGGAATATGTACCCATTTTCTTGACAGAATCAATTTGACTGAGTTAGATTATTGGGCTGCATCATTGCACATGTTAGCCCTCTGCCTTTATGGGGGTGTTGTAACAGTAATCCAAAATCTCAGTTTTGAGTTTACGAAGTCCCTTTTTAAACACTGGATGATTTCTAGTGATGTCGCTTCTATATTTCAGCAGAATGCCCTCCTTGTAAAGTGGAAGGGGGCCAGGGTTCCCCTGCTGCTATTAAAGATTGACCTGATCAAAGGATGTTTAAAAATTTATTACTTTTCCCTTGTTTGCATTTATAAAATTGAATTAGTCATTTATGTTCCATTTGTAGGCTTTTCCTCTCTGAAACAACATCTTGACTAGGAATTAATGTTCGTTTTGAAATAAAGGAATGTACAGCAAGCGCTTAACCTGTTTACCTTGTCCTTTGTGAGACTAAAAAATTTTTTGCACCAGGAGCGATTAGCTCACATAAAAATGGTTCTATACAGTCACCACATCATTGAACTGGGCAGCATCTTCAGGTTAAGCTCCTGCTCCAGTAAACATCAGTCAGTTGTTTTCTGTTTGCTTTTTAATCTTTATATCTTCCTTTTTTCTTATCACTCGTCTGCTGGGAGTTGCATTACTCTTTTAGTTGCTTGTTTACTCTTTACACACTTGCAATATTGTACTTACAGCTGTGGGGTCTTGATTTAGGAAAAATATAAACCACTTATGTTTACTATGATGGATAACAGAGCAAAATCAAAATGTAAAACATAAAGTGTAATAAGCCACATAACATAGCCTTATTACAGTACAAGGCCCCTTTTACCCATTCTGCTATTAATTCACACTGTTTTCACAAAAAGTTTCCTACCTGGAATAAAGGACCCGTCTCACTTCGCAATGTCATGATGACTGAACATTACAATCCCATGTTCTCTGCTTTTAAACATGGTTGTCTGAACAGACACATTTGTTTTTTTTAGCCAGCTGGAGTTCGTACTCCTGGAGAAAGTAGACTTGGCTGATAACTTTTTTTTCTCAATTAAGTTTAAATGAGGAAATAAGCCAAACGAGCCTAATACCAGGCATAGAGGGTGACACTTTTCGTAAACATTTTCGAAGACACTAATATTTTTTAAACGCATTGCTAAATTAAAAGAAAAATGCAAATAGCTTTGGTTTTACAGCACTATAAACACAGATGATGTTTCAGGTCAAGGACATAGATATGTTCTTGCTTCGCCCCTCATGGCTGGTATCTTTGGAAACTAGAGTCATATCTTTCCAACAACAATTTGCAAGTGTTTTTTTTTTTATTTCGGGTACTTTCTCTTTACAGGTATAGAACAATTCCTAGTACAGAAATCAGCACTTTTTTAGACCTAATCTGGGGTGATTGTGGCTCAGAAGGTAGTACAGGGATTTGTCTTGTAACAGGTTGGTTGCCTTTTCCTGTGCTCGCTCAATCTATCTCTGAATGTTAGCAACAAATTCACTCACCTTGCCTGCTTCTGGTGGTCAGACCCTGGTGTCACCGTCCTATGACAGCCTTGCTTCTGGCAGTCTGCTCCTGGGCAACTGTGGATACAATGCATCGTCTGACTGTATACTATATAAGAAAAGATAATTTATCATATTATCTTTTGTGGCTGAAAAACATATTAGGCAACAGTGCTGTGCGCATGCTTTTTGAGGGACAGGGGTGGAAAGAACAAAAGGGCACACATAGTGCATCCTCATCACTATAGAGGGCAATTTTCAACAATTTGACCCAAAAAAGGGGGGGGATCTAACCATTGTGGATCTAACATATTCAACTGATTAAGTACTAGTTTGCTGCAGTAAATATTTTGATAAATACTAAGTGTCTCCTAGGATTTCATGTATTTATTTATTTATTTTTTTTTCTTTTCACTAAAAAACTTGGTGTGGCTCAAGAAGGTAGCCTGTCCAGCCAGGTTGATTTATGATGGAGCATATTGGTCCAGATAGCCGTGCTAGGATTTGCTTCATTGCATGATGATAAAACAAATCAAATATAATAACAGCAGTGTTTGTGCATCTTTACACTGGTACCGAAAGGTTGAATTTAGTACCGATAATTAAGGAATTATTCTTAATTTATTTCCGTTGTGTATGTTCAGCTGGAAATGACTATTGAGAGGATGTTGCCGTACAATACACCAAAGGTTTGTCTCCCTTCTACTCAAAATCTTTCTCTCACATTAAGCAAATGAATATATAAATAATAAAAATAATTTAATATACACTATATTGCCAAAAGTATTTGCTCACCCATCCAAATTATTGGAATCAGGTGTTCCAATCACTTCCATGGCCACAGGTGTATAAATTCAAGCACCTAGGCATGCAGACTGTTTTTACAAACATTTGTGAAAGAATGGGTCGCTCTCAGGAGCTCAGTGAATTCCAGCGTGGAACTGTGATAGGATGCCACCTGTGCAACAAATCCAGTCGTGAAATTTCCTCGCTCCTAAATATTCCACAGTCAACTGTCAGCTGTATTATAAGAAAATGGAAGTGTTTGGGAACGACAGCAACTCAGCCACGAAGTGGTAGGCCACGTAAACTGACGGAGCGGGGTCAGCGGATGCTGACGCGCATAGTGCGAAGAGGTCGCCAACTTTCTGCAGAGTCAATCACTACAGACCTCCAAACTTCATGTAGCTCAAGAACAGTGCGCAGAGAGCTTCATGGAATGGGTTTCCATGGGCGAGCAGCTGCATCCAAGCCATACATCACCAAGTGCAATGCAAAGCGTCGGATGCGGTGGTGTAAAGCACGCCGCCACTGGACTCTAGAGCAGTGGAGACGCGTTCTCTGGAGTGACGAATCGCGCTTCTCCATCTGGCAATCTGATGGACGGGTCTGGGTTTGGCGGTTGCCAGGAGAACGGTACTTGTCTGACTGCATTGTGCCAAGTGTAAAGTTTGGTGGAGGGGGGATTATGGTGTGGGGTTGTTTTTCAGGAGCTGGGCTTGGCCCCTTAGTTCCAGTGAAAGGAACTCTGAATGCTTCAGCATACCAAGACATTTTGGACAATTCCATGCTCCCAACTTTGTGGGAACAGTTTGGAGCTGGCCCCTTCCTCTTCCAACATGACTGTGCACCAGTGCACAAAGCAAGGTCCATAAAGACATGGATGACAGAGTCTGGTGTGGATGAACTTGACTGGCCTGCACAGAGTCCTGACCTCAACCCGATAGAACACCTTTGGGATGAATTAGAGCGGAGACTGAGAGCCAGGCCTTCTCGTCCAACATCAGTGTGCGACCTCACAAATGCGCTTCTGGAAGAATGGTCAAAAATTCCCATAAACACACTCCTAAACCTTGTGGACAGCCTTCCCAGAAGAGTTGAAGCTGTTCTAGCTGCAAAGGGTGGACCGACGTCATATTGAACCCTATGGATTAGGAACGGGATGTCACTTAAGCTCATATGTGAGTCAAGGCAGGTGAGCAAATACTTTTGGCAATATAGTGTATAATCTAATATAGTATTGAAATATATCTAAAAATAATTATTTTGCCGATACTGACCGACCTAAAGCAGGAAAAGCTTATGATAAAGGGAAATCAAATCAGGTTTCAACTGTTTCAGCAAAAATTCCCAGATGTTAATTGAAGCAACAATTTGCATGTTTTATATACCTACAATTATTGGTAGAACTGTCCTTAGATATTTGATTGGTTAATGTCTTAACGACTTCTGTTCAAATGTGGGTTCATATCATGGTTAGCCTAACTAGTATTTTAGCTTTGGTTATCAAGGTAAAGGTTTGCATAACACCTTATTTAAGAAACTTAATCTGTTTGTTAGTATTTCAATAAAAAAAATAAAAATAAAGAAGAATAAAAAACATTACAAACTTTTGTATCATGAGAATACAAACCAGATTAGAAGAATTTACTGTAGTAGATAAGTAGATTTGATTTAACAAAGGTAATGGAAATGTATGTTTTTTAAGTTACTTTTTATTTGGAAAAGCAATCCTATAATACTGATCAAAAGCTGCCACATGTAAGTCAATGCAAATGTTTGCACCAGTATTCTTAATTTTATCTCTAACAATTTATTAGTCTGTTATGATTAACACATTTTTTTTTATCTATGGATACATATATATATATTTTTTTTACCAGAATAAAAAAAAAAAGAATTAAAAATCAACATTTTCTTTTAGTTTTAAAGATGAGATTGTTGGAGATGCAGAGGACTCCACACATACAACAGGACATTTTTCATAAGATATGTTGAATTAAATTTCTCAGTGAAAGTGGAGCTCTACATTTTGTCAGTCTGCTTCATACATTTTAGTCTATCCTTGTCTCCTCCATGTCCATTACTGTTCAGGTTCTAATGCCTGATTCTGACCATTTATATTTGCCCCTTAGGACCTGTATTCTATTTCTAATACTAGACAATTATGTTTGCAAGTATGAAGGACCAACTCTGCCATATTTAAAAATAAATACAGAAATAAATAAATGCTCAATAAATGTATAAGCATACAATTAATTGCCAACAAAAAAGTGAGACATAAATGTATATAACTCTTAATTAGCTTCTTTATTTATTTGCCTTTGTAATATTTACCTTATTTATTTTTCTGTCCTTTATAATCTTCAACTTTATTTTTTAATTACTTATATTTTTAAGTATTTATTTATGTGCATGTTATAATATTTTTGTCTGTTTTATTCTTCCTTTGTATTTTCTTACCTTAGTTATTTCTTCGCCGCTTTTTATTTCTCTCTGCCCTTTTTACATTTCTCTATGCATTTTTGCCTCATTATGCAAATGAGGAGGGGGTGTGTCCTAGAGAGTCAACTTCTGCTCATTGGTTGGCTTGGCGGCCCATCTTCTTAACTCACAGAGCTCAGAGTAAATGTTCTCTTTTCTGTTGCTGTTGTTCAATTAAAGTATGTTTTAAGATCATTTGAGGCGAGAACCTTATACTTTTAAGCATCACCATATGGCCCATTAACAGATTTAATGCGTAATTTAAAAGAAAATGTGACGAACTTGAGAGGACCGTGGCAACCAGCGGAGCTCCGAAGCTGACGGCAGCCAGGTCTAACCACAGCCCATCTGCAGCGGCCCTCTCTCGGCATAGCCGTGTGTGAAGCGTGTTGGTTAGCATTTTACTACATCGGTCGAATCTACAGGAGGAGAGTCTGATGTCGAGTCTGAAGTCATTAGAACTTGAGTAGGGACTTTGCCAAACTTTGCCAAACAGAACAAAAAATCGCCATCATAGCCTGGCTATAGACCTGGCTGCCGTCAGCTTCGGAGCTCCGCTGGTTGCCACGGTCCTCTCAAGTTCGTCACATTTTCTTTTAAATTACGCATTAAATCTGTGAATGGGCTATATGGTGATGCTTAAAAGTATAAGGTTCTCGCCTCAAATGATCTTAAAACATACTTTAATTGAACAACAGCAACAGAAAAGAGAACATTTAACTTAGTACTCTGAGCTCTGTGAGTTAAGAAGATGGGCCGCCAAGCCAACCAATGAGCAGAAGTTGACACTCTAGGACACACCCCCTCCTCATTTGCATAATGAGGAAAAATGCATAGAGAAATGTAAAAAGGGCAGAGAGAAATAAAAAGCGGCGAAGAAATAACTAAGGTAAGAAAATACAAAGGAAGAATAAAACAGACAAAAATATTATAACATGCACATAAATAAATACTTCAAAATATAAGTAATTAAAAAATAAAGTTGAAGATTATAAAGGACAGAAAAATAAATAAGGTAAATATTACAAAGGCAAATAAATAAAGAAGCTAATTAAGAGTTATATACATTTATGTCTCACTTTTTTGTTGGCAATTAATTGTATGCTTATACATTTATTGAGCATTTATTTATTTCTGTATTTATTTTTAAATATGGCAGAGTTGGTCCTTCATATGCAAGAGCCATGTAATGGCATAATAGGAGCCAGAGGTAGTGATCTCAGACATCATACTTAGTACATGCTGTGGAGTCTGTCACAAAGGGATTTTGTAAAGTGTTTTATATTTAGCAAAACATGATGCAATGAACATGCAAGACTGAAAACATGCACTAGCTGTGACCTTAAGTGAATTATATTTTATAAAATGATTTTCAATATAATTCCATACAAATTATTTTTTCCTTTCATCAAATAAGTAGTCAGTTTTCTGGAGTACAGTTATGCTCTTTTAAAGTCCCTTATAATTAGACTTTTAGAATAAGATTCAAGGTTAAATAATTAATTGGGAAGGTTATAATAGTGTTTTTCTGTATGTGGGGATCACAGAGAATTCAGTACTGAAGAATCATTTTTTGCAAATACACCATCTATCTGTTCAGATGTGTGGTTGTGGCTGTGTGTACTGTGCTTCAATAAAAAGTGCATCCTTAAATATCAGTTGCTTTCTTTCATGCACATCAGCTAACATCTCCTAAAGGTACAACATATTATCTACAAATATCCTTCTTTTTAAAGTATTTTACTTGTTTTCAGTCATCTTTCTAAATCACTGTATCGGCTCCCTAAGGGAAAAGCGGAAAGTTTTGGGGTTACAGAACCGGTTGAAGGGTCAATGGAGCAAATCAATCTAAATAGATGAAAGGAGGGCACATACGTATGTGAAACCTGATGAGTAGAATCGGACGGATATCTTTAAACTTGATAGGCAGACAGCTCTTGAAGCCATAAGTCAGAGGGTCAGTCAGTAACTGATGTTGTTGTAGTTTAAAGACTGTTTATAATGTAGGACAGAAATATAATATAACATAATATAATATTATATAACATATCATTTTTTGTGTATCTGTTTGTGTGCTTCACGTGATGCACAGAGGTCTATAGAAAGCACATAACTCTTAATAATGATACGTATTCTGTGTGTAGGGGGATGGGGGTTTGCATGCTTGTATAAAGATAAGAGCTCTTAGCTTTTTTGGCAGTGGCATCTGTCTATATAAGGCTGTTCTATTTCTGCTGCTTTTCCTCTGGGAACCCAGTACAATTGTCATCCCCTGGACAATGCAAGCAACGAAACATGGTAGGCTCTCTCTCTTTCCAGTGCTGTTTATGGTAAAAAAAATATATATATATTTATTTGAACTTGTACAAAATAAATGACTGAGATTCTCACTTTAATTTAAAGAAGTTCAAATATATATATGTATGTTTTTATTGTTTACTACAAACACAGCGTGTTAGTGCCTAAGGTCTATAAGGAAAGAGTTTCCCTCTTCTCTGAGTAGAATACATGCACTGGCATTGGAAAAGATAGGAAAAGGCGATTTTTCATGTTTTCAATCCTGTCCTTCTCCTTCAGGCACTGTCAAATTAGGATCTCAAAGTATTTAATTGATGACACCCATAATGTTTGTGAAAGGTCAGACTTTTTTGGGGCGCGTGGAACTTTAAATGCAAGAATTTCTATGTAATTATAGTCCCTGATTTATCTGTCGTTGACCAAGATTTGGCCAAGTGTGTTCTGCTCTTGTGCCTATTTGCAGGCCGACTATAAATAGTGCAGAAGGCTACGCATGCTCCTGTTTGATTGGAAATTACAGCGCCTTAAGTCAGTGGAGTATCTGTCATGGGAGGGAATGACATTTCTGAATGGTGAGTTTCTAAATAATATAACAACTAAATCTTCAGTGATAGTAACAAAATAAGCAATGTGTGGAGCAGATATGGTATTACTTCATTGAACATCTAGTGAGGATGATCGTTTTTTTAAATAGAAGATGACTGAAAAAACAATTTTTTTCCCAGTTGTTAAAACATAGTGAACTCCAAGAGCTAACATTTGTCATGTTTACTTTGTTCTACTTTCTTTCATCTTTCAAAAGGTTGCAGTGATTTCTATGGGAAGCTGCAAGCTGGGGGATTAAACTCCAAAACCTTTCCTCAGAGATTTTTTTTCTGACCATCATATTTTTGAAAAAGCAATGGGTTCGAGGAGGACGATGGTATGTTACTCTTTTGGAAATGGACGGTCTAGCAATGGGAACGATGTTAGAGGGCGAAGTCGGTCCAGTAGCTTCAGCTACCTCTCCAACCTGAGGCCAGAAAACAGGTTAAGATTTTTGGAAAACTCACAATGATGTCTGACTAAACTATTTCTGTTTAGATTAGCTAATGCATCCAAAATTCAGGATTTTCCACTGATGTAGTAAACACTTGTGTGTTTACCTTTGTGTTTGTTGCTATGGTTACATATAGCTTAAATAAGACTGATATTAAGATCAGGATCTCAGTTATGTATTATAATATCATAATTTGCAATAACTTCAGCATTGGAAAATGTTTGATTCTTGAGAATTACTTTATATTTTTTATTGTTAAAAGAGAGCTTTGGAAAAATATTAATTTTGAAAAAAAACAAAAAAAAACACTTCCATTACTACTATGCACTTTCATTTCATTTCACTGGTTCCAATGAAAACATTAAGATAAATGTTCAGCCCTCTTCTTAGACTAACATTTTTTTTTTATTTAGGCAATGCTTCATGTTTATTTTGAAAGCAAATATAAAAATATACAGACTTTCATTTGTATATTTAATGTATTAGACCCACCTTCTCTATGTCCTCTTAGCAACATTAAATAGATCAGTTATATTTTATGTCTAGCTATTTATGCCAGTTCAGCTGATCTGTCACAGAAAGTACAGCTTGTCACTTGCAACTGTAATATAAAGATATATTTCACATATAATGCTTGCTATGAATAATTATTCCTTTCTGTAAGTATATAAGGTAGAGAGATGTCTAAGTATCAATTTCTATCCACCTGTAAGAAAAGCATGGATGTATTTTTTTCATGAAGAGTTTGTACATTGTACCTATACTTAGGTTATTACTCTTATTTCCTGACACAATCATAAAAACAACTACTACACCTTAGTTACATCTAAATGATGATTTTCTTAAACAGCAGAATCATTGCGGTTAATTACATAAAAAGTGAAACATTTATCCTGGAAGTGCATTAAACATGCAGTGATATGTTTCAAGTAATTATTCGTAATTACCTTTATCATTACGGCCTACAACTTCTAAAATATTTTATATTCAATCCTCAGAAAACAACAATATCAGATTATATTAATAGATTTATATTAATAAATAAGGGCTTTAGAAAAGCATGTCCATATAATGAGCGCTATCTATACTTAATATGTAGGGTACCATTTGCAGGACTTACTTCATCAATCTGTGTGTGTTTTTTTATTTTTATTATTAGTTGTTACCTATAGTATTTTAAAACAACTGAAGAAAGAACTTTTAATATCAATTGCTATGTGCTGAGTCTTTATTATCAATAATATTTTCTTTTTAAACTGCATTACTGAAAAAATGTACAATCATATTCAGATTGATTTAGATGTAACTTTGTTTAAGGTAAATCTGGAAGGGGTATTCAACGGGGAAGTTTGTTTTTCTCTGGGTTGGACTAGTAAAAACTCACCTCATGCTAACCTCTTGCCTGGTGGCAGCTGCTTGAGCAATCCTACAGCATAAAAACAGACAAACAAACAGAACAGATCTGCAACCTGCTGTTCCAGAGCTGGAAGTGTCTCTTAAGAATTTCTAGAATACCTCTTAACTATTTTGTCTACAGATGATAAAGAATCAACTTGTGTTACTTTAAATACCATTAAGGGTTTAGTAGATTGGGGAGTTTCAACAACAGAAGGACACTTGAAGTACCAATCATTTTATTTTAGATCTATTTGTCTTTTATTGTTTTTTTACCTGCATTATACTTGCATTATTTTACACAGATATCACAATTCCTTAGCGTAAAAATAAAAATGTCAATTCTCTATTCACAGCAGTTTCATGTTTTTCCTTTATTCAAATCTGAACAATGAAAAGAAAAATTATGGATTTTAATAGATAACAAATAGATTTTGATAAGAAATCATGTTGTTTTTCAAAAGTTTGTAGTTTTATTTCGCTTGATTGACTGAAAGCAAAAATGGCTCTTAGGATTGTAAACTTTTCAAACCTCTGCTATATAATCAAACAGATACAAAAAAGAAATCTGCTCTTCAGCTAAATATTCTTGCTTCCTCATTTTCCTCCTTGCAAAGAGAATCTTTATTGTCCTTTATCTGAAATAATCAGCATGTCACATTAGTGACATTTACACTTCTTTTAGGGATATTGCAAAAAATATTATAATCAAACGGTGTCTATGGACTGTTTTGAATTTGATAAAAAACAATGTGAATTAATGAGATCCTGATGAGACACTTTGAAGTTTAATTTCAGGTTTGCATTCCTCTGATTTGACATTAATGGGTTTGGACATTTGTGATTTGGTCTAATTGTCTAGGCATTACTTTTAGCTCTGAAAACAAATATGGAAACATAATTACTGAGCCATTTCTCATTTCTTACACAGGAGCACATTCTGCAGTGTAATGGCACAGTTAGCAGAAGAAATGCAGCCGTCCTTTGTGACTACTTTGAAATCCAAGGCTGTGTCTGAAAACAGCAATGTAAAGTTCACCTGTGTGGTTACAGGTAAACAGACTGCACAGATAGGGTTTCAGATGCTTGTGATGTAAAGGAACAGTCATAAGATGTAATACCAGGCTGAGTAATACACATTGAATTCACACGAATAGAAAAATGAATTCATATCTATTCAGAAACTAATAAAATTTAATGTGTCTTTTGTTTCTTTTTCTCAGGACACCCTGTCCCACAAGTTACCTGGTATAAGGATGACAAACAGCTGGATAGATTCTGTGGGCTGCCTAAATACGAAATATTCCACAATGGACAAAATCATTCCCTGCACATTCATAAGTAATTGCATTCAGAAACTCTATTGAATACCAGACAGCACTTGCTTAGAATACTGCTCAGGTCAAAACTGTGTTTAACATTTACATTTAGGAATTACAATTATGGAGCAACTATACAGGTGTATAAGAACCACAATGACTTTTTAATACAAAATGTGGATAAAAATGACTGAAATTGACTATTTGTTTTAATTTTCTTTTTTTAATAAAAAAAATAAATTAAACTAAAGGAAACTATTTATTTAAATACATGTTTTAAGTTAAGGGGCATATCATTGAAAATTACCATCCTCTTTTTTTCTAAATTAAACATAAAGACACAAATCAAAGTCCATACATTACCTTGTGTTGTGCAACTACAATATATTTATTTTCCATTGCAGTAAGGAGCATCAATATTTCTATTAAATCAGATAATATTCAGAATGCCATATATTGTTTATAAACACACACCCTACTGGCTGTGTGTTAAAACAGCAAAGGAAAGTGTGAATCGAGCTCAAATCATGGTCAAACAGATAACTGTGCACACATCTATATATATAGTAAAATGACAACAACTTTAATTCAAAATATAACAGTTTATTAACAAAAATGTTTCAGCTTCAACTCAAACGTTTTCAGTAAAAAACTTTTGACTAAAAACTAATGACTAAACCAGCGAAACTCAACTATGTTCTTACTACGTATGTACTGTACACAGTGAAGAAGTAAAAACAGCATATTCTATAAAGATATTCAATCACAGTTTAGCATTAAGGATTTTATGATTGAGAACCAAAGTTTATCTAGAAGAATTTGGAATGTGAAACTGGTTTTTGGATAATTTAGGCCAATTGGAATGTGTGCAAACCAGTTCACAATGCAATTCCAAGAGGTGAATAAAACATTATTTGGAAAATAGTTTTATTAAATAATTTGCCTAATTTGAAACCAGTTACCATTAGTTGATTGATTATTAACCTTTGATTGTCCTATAAGCCAGCCAACAAGAGGATTCCCATTCAATAACTTCATAATTTGGTCATCAAAATGTAATGAGCAAATGAAGAGATACATGAACGTTAAATCATGTTTAATAATCTTTACACTAGTGAAATAAAGCTTTTTGCAGCTTTACAAACAACAGCTCAAACATGTTAGCATGGTGTACCTTATCTTATCTACCTTATCTACCCAACAATAAAAACATAAAATGAACCGAAATAATCAAAAAAAAAAAAATTTATCTAACTAGAAACTCTGACATCTGTGCCAGACCTCTACCTCTGTATCTTAATTTGGAAGGCTTGAGTTTTTCTCCAGCGTTTGGCAGCAGACCACACATCAGGGCGTTTTTACCTACAGCCTCTTCTAAGCATCTGAAAGTCCTAAAACTCAGAGAAATGTTGCAGAATCTGTTTTATTTTTTAGTAATTTGGTTCTGATGTCAGCTATCAGGTCCACTTTGCCTCTGGTCATTTTACAGCTTCTGCTCCCTGGACATGGGGCCATAATGGTATCTCTCTGATGAGAACTGGCCAGAGAGCAGTCCCCAAAGAGAAAGGAGGCCAGAGACAGTTGCTTTGTCCTCAAAGCACTGTGGGGGGTGGGCAAAGGCACACCTCTGTAGGAGTGTCTTTTGATACTGTCTTTGGGGAGGTGTTATAGAACAAAGACAGCTGCAGAACACATTCATCTTAATAAACCAATGGGCTGGGTTAATGTACAGGAAAGCTTGGTGTCCAAAATTATTACCATGGTTTACGGCACAAAACTTGGGACATGGAGGCTGCTCTGATGGGGCTGCAGGATGTAGCAACGTAAACTAGAGAATCAGTAAACTAACTAATCCTGCTTAGTTTTTATAAGCAGTAATAGTTCTTGTAGTTGTGATAGGTATCATATCCCCATCAGCTTGATTAAAATTTAAATCCACTTTTCCGAATTGTACAAGGTACAGCTAATCAGATGTGTCCCGTTTGTGTTTGGTGACTGAAGCAGTTTAAAACAAATCAAACTGAAAGTTTTTCTGATCAGTGGGATTGAGTGATAGGGTGATGAATATTGACAGCCATTCATTTTAACAACTCATTTGTTATATTTGGTGCTGTTTCATGTAGAGATGCACTGATCCACTTTCAGGATCTAATATCAGCTCCAATATTCAATAATAACTGAATCGAATATTGTTGATTTAATATTGGATATCGAAGCTCCAATACAATGAACCTTACATGGAACCATTATTCATTTATTTTTGTTGCAATTTGTAAATAAATAATATATAGCTCATTTATCCATCCATCCATTATCTGACACGCTTGTCCCGAGTGGGGTCACGAGGGCTGCTGGTGCCTATCTCCAGCAGTCAATGGGCGAGAGGCGGGGTGCACCCTGAACAGGTCGCCAGCCCTTTTTAAAGCTTCTAATACCATCCAATCCAAATTAAATACTCCAAATTCTTTTTCACATTGCCAATGAAATGACACTGCTTAAATGAAAGCTTACAGAAGCAAACACAGTTAATTAATGTCTACCATTGTTAATAATAATACAATTTCATGTGATTTTATAAAATCCACAGTTGCACTGTGGACGACGCTGCAATCTACCAAGCTTCTGCCACCAACAGTAAAGGAATTGTGTCCTGCTCCGGGGTCCTTGAGGTTGGCGAAATGAACGAGTTCAAGATCCATCAGCGTTACTTTGCCAAGCTGAAACAGAAGGCTGAAAACAAATGCAGGCAAACACAAGGAAAAGAAAACCTGGAGCCACTGCGAACCATCAGTCCTGACCGAACACAGAGGAAACGCCGCTCAACAATGGAGGCCTTTGTCAGCACGCCCAACTCCATTGAGGATGAAAGCAATGAGGCAGAAGGTCTACAGACTGAATGTAGGTTGCATGAGGGCACTGTAGAAGAGGTCTATAAAACTCAGGCCTCAGACACAAAGGAAACGACGTCTGCTGAGCCCAATGGACAAATAAACAGTGACCCTGAAAACAAGAGTAGGACATACACCTATGATCCTGATCATAAGACATTTTCCTCTCATCAACCAAAATCCCCTTTTGTTATGAAGAAGATTAAAATATCCAACAATACAACACATCCAAAACCAGAAAAGGCTGGAGAAAGGAATACAATCAAAAACCACAATTCTTTTATATCTCCAGTCTGTGCAAAGAATATACAAACCAATGGGAATCCAGAAGAGATCATGGAAGTGGAAAATATTTTGGATTCATCACTTTCACATGCTTATTTCAAAAAAATAAAGGGGGAATCTGGACAATTAGCAAAAGAGGAGGCCATGTTTGTTAAAAACCAGTCAAAGGATGAAAACATATTTCATAAAAGGACTGTGTCCTCACAAAGAGACAATCTCACTACATCAGAGTCCTCTGCTGCTACATCTCCTAAGTCTATGTTCGAAAAGGAGGGCAAGAAAATAGCCAATCACAAAAATGAAGGCAGTTACAAAGATACAGAAAAGTGTTTGGAGAGACAGAACCAAGTTCCTCATGTGATGCCTGCACAAAACGAGCCGTGCAATAAATTAAGACTTCTAAGCATAAAGAAAGAGGACATTGATAAAGCAGAGCATGTTAGAGCATTGGATATTGAAGTTAAGTCAAACACATTATTGGATGGATCTGGTTGCAGTAAGCAGCTGGACACATCATGTAACGTAATGGATGTCTCCCCTCAATGTTCATATGGACGGGGGTGAAAGTCTGCTGTCTGAGAAAGAGACGAGCCTCTGCCAAAAAAAGGAGTCTGCGTCTCGACCAGCAGTGCCAAGTGAGGTGAGTTAACATTTTCACATGAGATCATATGGGATTTATGCTGCCAGCACAGGCCCCATCACAAGCATCCTGAAGATATTAATAGCTTTTTACAAGCATGCCCTGTTCTGGGTAACAAGCATTAAATGACGCACATGTTAACAGATAGAGCACTTGTGGAATTGATGCAAAACATGGTGTGATGGTTTTTTTTTGTGCTTTTTTTAAATCATAGAAATATAGAATTATACTTCAATCGAAATGTTAAAATCCCGACCTTCATATGCTATAACACATTTTAAAATTCTAAAGTTTCATTTACTCCTTCATTAATTTCATAAAAAAATTATAAAAAGCTTTACTGACTTTGTCAAAATTTTAAGAATGCAGTTTTATTCATTTATTAAATATATAAGATATTTGAAAAAAATGATGATAATAAAACGCTTTTTTCAGCATGTAAAAATGTATTTAGGTTCTATGCTTTTGTATGCTGAAAAAATTATACTTCTCTTTCACGTCGTGTTAGCTTGCTGATATCCAAAACAAACGCATCCAAAAACAAATGATAAATGCAAGCCATATGAGTGAAGCACAGAGTTTCTCAGCATTGTTGGTCGTAATCGATCTTTGTTTAATTTGCACCATTCCTTTTATTTTTTATGACACACTGCTTATGCAATCACCTCAGCCTCATCTAAGTAAGGAATGTGAGCTGAGACAAAACACTGCATGACAAGAAAACTGCTTAAAATATTTCACATTCTTTTGTGGCAACCTTACATTTAAAATAGCAACCTTCTTTTTAAATAGGCTTCTGGATGTCTAAACAGGAGTGGAAGAATATTCTCAATAATCTGATTTAAATGCAGAAAACATATTTAATTATGGATACAAATCTTGATGTCAATTTTATTACAAATTTTTGATCCCTTCATGATTTACTGACACTGACCAGAAACCTAATTGAAAAATACAAATGAAAACAAAACAGGTTCATGATGAACGGTTAATTCTCCAGAATATCTTAGTTACGATGCTTCATTGAAAGTTTGATTGCATCAGTGAAGCTGAACTTTCCCTTCAAATTGAATATTAACTTCAATCTTATTATTTCTTCATTATTATAATAAATACACAGCTCCATTTTTGCTGGATTATAATCAAATTATTTTCCTTACATGTTACTGGTTTGCAATCATCATTCGCTGGTTGCTGTGTAGCTGTTTTTACTATTGCATGTGTTTATTCATGTCAAGCAAAGCCGGGGATAAGGGAATAAGTATTTACGGCTTGCATTATATCCCAAGGTTACAGAGGCTGACGGAGTCATGAACGGGAATGATGCACCTGTCGGCCTTAAGCTACCACTCAACCAACACAACATAAACCCAGAGCTGCCACAAAAGACAGATCACATCCTCACCTCTCCTTTGTCCGGCGGTCCTCACCCAAGCCCTGATGGAATAGCACAGGATACATCGTCCGATTCCAGGAAACCAAATGAAGGCTGCACAGCCATTTTTACTCACCCTCAGAAGTCAGCACACAGAATCCCTGGTCATGGGGAGAGCATCCTGGACTGTACTGTTCTGTCTGTCACCCAGCAAAGCCAGTTAAATACAGCTATAAAAACATTTGAGGGGACAAAAATACAAGATGAGAAGATAGAGACTGGTGAAATACATAAAGTAGCTGTTCAAGCTGTCAATGGGAAGTCAAGTGTGAAGATACTGGAAATGGAGGCTGAAACCTCTGGCCTTCATGGCCAAAATCAGTCAGAAAAGACCAAAGATGAAGGAAAAAAAGACTCTGAAGCAAAATCTACACAAATTCCAATTGCTGAAACTAAGAAGAATCAATCCACATTAAAAGTGTTGGAAAACACTAATTTACACCATAAGGAATTTAAGTCAGGTCCGCTTGAAACTCAAAAACAAACCCTAGAAAAGACAGAAGCACCTAATGGCAACATAATATTCAGAAAAATCCCCAAACATGAATCTAAAGTAATATCTGTTGCTGAACTGTTAAGATCTCAAATAAAGGCTCTTGAGTTAGGACAGAGCAATCCAGTCTCTACTATGTCTGCCTTCTCCAACTCAAAACCTGATTCTATGATAAATGCTAAAGGAGTGGGTCAGGAAGCAAGAAATGGAGCAAAAATAAATAAACCAGATAGGAAGACATTCAAGACTAAGACTGAAACCGAGGAAATTATTGGTGGAGCACCCCACTCAAGCCTAAAGGAAACACTCATAAAAGTGTATCAGGAACTAAATGAAAGGGAACAGGAACAAAATCTGACCTCAGATGAAACTTCAAAAACTGCTCGACCTTCACATCAAGATGTTGTGGTCCCTTCTATCTCTTTCAGTGTGAATGATACAGCAACAGATATAACCCTGCCATGTCGGAAAGTTGAAGATGTTATGGACACCAGTCGGGAAACTGTGGTTTCATTTACAGATAAATCTAATGTTAAGGATAATCCACATTCTTTACCTTCAGAGAATGGATTTATTAAGGAAATTCAGTCAATTTCAAATCCACCTGTAACCAGTCCTCTGGAATCCAGGTCAACAGCGAATGCTGAAAATAATCCCCAAGATGTACAGAGCAATATTATGGAAAACTCTAAAGATGGAACTGTCCAAGGTCCCAAAATGATGTCTCCTGTCCCACAACTAAACCTCAACAATAAATTGGAAGTGGGGATTACAGTTTCTGAGCAACACAAGATGGAGGAGCCTCCAATTAATTCCACACAGAAACTGCAAACGTATCTTCAGTCTGACCGTGAATCTAAAAAAAATTTACAAGTGAAGGATATTCTTCTTAGAGAGGAGAGCTCGGTCCTTAAGGAAGGTTTGAGGCCTGATCCCTTTAACAGTTTAACTCCAGAATCCAGTCTCCTGATTAAGAACACTGACTTTGTTTCAGAAATCCCTTCTGCTACTCCACAAGAACTAGCCTCTGGGGCACGTCGTAAAATCACAGCCTCTAATGCAAAAACAGTGGAAGCTCAAGAGTCAACATCCCCCTCAAATAGCCAAACCCAGAAAAAAGAGATATCTGTACATACCAGCACAATGTCTCCCAGCCTATCTCGAAGGTCAGCATTACTGCAGCCTGCTGAAGAGCAAACATCTGTGGTCAAAAGGCAATCTCCACTTTTGACCAGAAGGAAGATGGCCTCTGAAACTCAAACACAAAGCAAGCCACTCGCTGAGAAGATCCAACCTGAGGGGACATCTGCAGAGAAGGACAAACATAACCCATTTAAAGGTAAAACTATTTTTTTAATGCTTCTACAAAACAAGTTGGTCTAATGGAAAAGAGGATACTGGCTAAGATTAATCTAGATCGATATTTTCACTGAGACGCAAATGTAAATTTTGCTTTTGGAAAAAACATTTCAATACTCTTTACACTAAGTGATAAAAATGTATCTGACATAATGCTGTTTAACAGGCTTTGAGTAAAACATTTGATCCTGAACTAGCAGCAGTAACCACAAGTGTAGCAGGAACAAATTTGCTCACACCTCAGTAAACACCCCCATTTAGAGTTTTTATTTTTCTACTTTTCTCCATTTATTCAACCTCGATACTAAAATGAATTTGCTTAATTTTGCATGAGCCCACATACAAAATATGTCATCTTTGATCAGTTTTACTTGCATTTTCCTAACTCAAGGTTAAAAACATTGAATAAACCCTTCTACTCAAATCCCAGTGAGATTTCCTTTTATAGCAGGGGTAGAGAATTAATTACATTTGCAATCTAATCACATTTTTAATAAAACACAATTTAAAAATCATAGATGCACTGAATTTTGATCAAATCACATTTAACAAAAGATACTGACTGTCTCACTCACATCCTTTAGGTAGTGCTAATACAGTTAAAGTGATCTTCCTTACAAGAGAGAAGAGAGAGCTGCAGCTAGCACCCGATCAATGCAACTTTTCTACTTTTCAATGCAACTTTACAGCACAAAACTGACAGCAAACTCCTGTGACAGTTAAAATCAAAAAAGGGAACTTTCAAGATCAAGAAAACAATAAATAAATAAAAAAACTGTAGTTAAACACCTAAATACTGTTGGTTAGTTTAAAGGAAAGCAGGTAAACTAGTTGCTGGTTGTTATATCTTGTTTTTTTGTTTTTGTTTTTACCATAGTTAGAGTAATTATGCTTTAAGTAAAAAAAAAAAAAAAAACATAAACTCAATTTCCTATTCTCTTAATTTACAATTTTAAAGTAACCAGCTTCCATGCTCTTTCAGCTTCTACATATTTGCTCATGAGATTATGTTGACATAGCCACAAATGCATTCTTATGCAAAGTTGACTGAAAGATTGTAAAACTTCTGCTTTTTAAACCTTTCTTTTCATATTAGCATAGTAATAAATACACAACAGCATAAAAAAAAAATAATTTTTTGTTGTCACAATGGGTAAATGTCTTCTACGTTTATCCCATCCCTTTGGGAGCTGTGAACTGCAAAGCTTAATAGCACACTGGGAGCATTCTGGAGATAAGGGTCTCACTAAGGGGTCCAGAATGATTCAGTTCCAGAACTTAAACACCCTGCTTTCCAACCACGAGGCCCAATCTTTCAATAAATACATATGTTTTAAGCAATATTTGGTTTAAAACTGTTTAAACATAGTATGTGTGGTAGTGTAGAGCTTAGTAATGATTCCATGAAATGACTTCATTCCTGTGTTGAGATTTCATCCTGTTACCATGCATGTTGAAGTTTTGTCAGTGGGCTCCAGTTTACTGCTCAGAAACGTGCAAGTATCCCGTCTCTCTCTTATATTTATACTGATCAGCAGCTTTAAACTAGCCCGAAGTATATCCATGTAAAAACAAAACCTAAGGGGCTGCTCTGTGTTACATGTCTTTCCAGCTCCTCAGGTTATCCGTAAGATCAGGGGTGAAACCTTTGCTGATGGTTCAGGACACTTGAAACTGTGGTGCCAGTTCTTCAATGTTCTAAGCGACTCCAACATCAAGTGGGACAAAAATGAGGAGGAGATTGCTCAAGTTACGAAAAGGTATGTTTATCACAATATGTTTAATATTATTCTGTTTCAAATGCTTTAGAAAATATAGCTGTTTTTTAAAATTTGTTTTCCAGTGCAGGGGATGAAACCCAGGTCAATCTCGCTATTGTTCAAGCATCATGCAAAGATTCAGGAGTTTACGGATGCACAATAACCAATGAATATGGCTCGGACTCCACAGACTTTCTACTTAGCGCTGATAGTATGTAAACTATAAAACTATTTCTATGTTGGACCTATTGTTTCACTAGATATGTTTAATCAGTTTTACCGCTGTTGTTTTGCAGTCTTGGCCGGAATGTCTCTGCGTGAGGACCTTGGTGGTGAGATCAGATTTCAGTAATTGGCTTAGATAATTTTTCTTTGATTTTTTTTCTTCTAACTGTTCTCTGCATATTATTGTTTATGCAGTTGGGGAGGAAATTGAAATGACCCCCCTCATATTTAACAAGGGGCTGGCTGATTCTGGTGTCTGGGGCAACAAATTCTTTGGACGTATTATGATCACAGAATCACGCATCGGAGATGGATGTTCCCATAAAGTCTGGAGAGCCAAAGTCATTTACGGTCTAGAGCCTGTTTTTGATTCTGGTAACACATGTATAATTAAAGTACACAGCCCCGTCATCTATGGAGGCAAGGTGGAAAGCTCTCTCATAGAAAGAAACCTGCACCTCATGAAACAGGTATTTGCAAAGGTCTAATTTTGTGAGTTATTCTTATCTTAGATTTAAAAACGTCACCCAGTATACCAGGAAATTCAACACTAAAGGAAGCCAGGTGTCGTGTCTGCCACCCACACAGGATTACTGTGATTCTAATCTACTTAACCTTAAATAAATATGATGGTCGAGCAGATATTTAACTGGATGTGATCCAATATTTTTCATACAGGAATGTAGAATTCAGAACTTGGCACGGGAATACTGCAAAATCTTTGCTGCGGAGGCGAGGATCATAGAAAACTTTGGACCCACCCTGGAGTAGGCAACATCAATTTTTGTTTCAAGAACATGGTACCCCCTTATATAGCAGGTGCCTTTAAACTTTCCGACTTACTCTGACCTCATTTGCTTTACAGGGTCATTCCATTGTACCTAATGTATAGACCTGCAAACCCCATCCCCTACGCCACAGTGGAAACTGATCTGATCGGAGTTTATAAGAAATACACTGCTCTGGATAATACAGGGAGAACAGATGTGAGGACTGGTTCTGAGGTTGAACTAAAGTGCTGTGCCTTGCAGCACTGGATATTTCAGTGGACTTCTGGAAATTTCCTAATCACTCGTCTGGAAGGTGAGCTGGCACTCCTTGTCAATTGTGTATTGATGAGTTTTATGTACACCCCTGGCCTAGGCACCTAGGCACCATGGGCGTAGGTTTACATAGGGACCATAGGGACATGTCCCTACCAAAATTTTGAACCGACCTAATTGTCCCGACCAATAATTCGATGTGAACAACGTGTTTATAATTTACAGCAGTAGTTGTTGCAGCAGTGGCTTCTTTTCCTCTCGCAGCTCCTCTGCCTTGTCTCTCCTGTCCCTTTCATGTAGCAGCGCATGGAACTGTGCTGCGCTGTTTAACTCAACTCTCATTGGTTGTTCTGCGTTAAGTTCCGCCTTCTCTCTCTCTGATTGGCTGTTTTCCAATCCTCGTGTGCTTGGAGCACAACATTGAAAATGTATTCACACTAGAATGCAGCGGTTACTACAATTAATATTAGGCTACAAAACTAGTCCCAATAAAAAAAAAATGAATATCATTGTACACTTAAAAACAAAAACCTTTTTTTTTCTTTTATAAAACGAAATATTCTGAGTCAGCCAGGAGTTCTGAAGACTGCTGGAAAAATGGGCAAATAAAGGCTGTAAGCCATCAACATTTCTGATTCTTAGCCACAGCCAACTAAAAAAGAAAATGTGAGGGTTTCCTTTTTACCGATATTTAGTTGATATTACTGTTTTTATTTTTTACAATTTTGATATAATAACTGATCTAAGTGGGTTGCTCTGTGGGGAAAGGCACATTTTACATTTATATTACTGTATGTTTTAAAGTCTCTATACTCCAGTTAATGATGAATCACTTACTAAATTAGTTGACGATTATTGAAATAATCAATTAATATGATTCATTTTTTTCAGCCCCATATGAAATACATGAAATTGGCTACACAGAGTAACTACAGCCCAGATGTTCAACTTTTATAGTGAAGGTAATATTTTAATGAATGTATTATTTTGCTTGATACAGAGAGAGAATAGTAGGTACAAATATTAGAGTGGGGTTTAACTGCACAATTCTATATCTTCAAAAGAAAATACTGTATTTACCTTCTCTCTTAGTCATTCAAATGAAACCGTTTTCAAAGTGGAAAACAGTCCTAATTCCACATTCATCAGAGCCGGTGATACTTCAAACATTGATAAACAGCATCTAATGAGTGTAGAGCTTATAACATTTTTATTAATGGAGCAAAATTTTGCTTTTCTCTTTTAACAATGAATTCCTCTTATCAGTACGGATGCTCACATCGAGTATAAAAAAGGCCATGCATATTGCATAGCACCAATGACACCATACCAATAGTGTCCCTACCAAAGTTCAAATCAAACCTACGCCCTTGCTAGGCACACCTTGCTTATACTTGTTTTGACTTTTTTTTTTTGTTTTTGTTTCCCATGCTATTGGTGGAATATAACCAGAAATCTGTCCCTGAGAATTTATCCTAGATTTTGGTCCATATTAGCATAAAGTTATCAAGCAGTTGCTGCAGGTTTTTTTTGGCTGAATTCATTCAATAGAATTGAGTGCATCCTGGGCGTTTAGAAAGGTGAGATGAAGGCCATTTCTGAGTAACATTGCTTTCAAAAAATAGAAACAGTTAAGGGGCTACCACATTTCCTTGGAAGGATCCAGCTATCAACAGTGGCTCCAAGTCATGCTATTGTGAGAAGTACAGATTGTTTTTTTTTAACTTCTCTCTTTACAAAGATGTTCTTTTCCACATAATGATTATTTCTATCATCTATGCTTTAACAAACTTCAGCTGTCTTTCTGATGGGCATAATGCTAACCAACAAATACTGAGTAGCAGCTTTTTAAAATATACTGCATGTGTTAGATAAACACATTTGCTTTCACTGATGCCAGAATTTGCCAACTTTGAACTGACACTCCTACTATTGTATATTTATCAATCTAAACCTGTTCCTAGGCAGAGGGTGTTATTTTGCACCTCTGACCTCACTGTGCATGTTAGTTAACTGCACTGCGGTTGTTTTTGCATGTCCCATCTGGTTTTGAGAGGCACAAACATTTTATTAATCTGACCCAGAAACAGATGAGAGCTCAAGAAACCTCTCAGCGCAGTTAGATCCTGCCAAATGTCTACTGGGACTGAATATAAGATGAGGCTGAGCCGTTAAGTGGGGGCATGGAGGCCATCCTGACGCCTCCCCACTGGGTGGAACCATCCCTGCTTTCATTTTTTTTATCCTAAAGTTTGACCCTACATGTTGCTGCTAAAACCGAATCATCAAATTAGTAATATTTCTCCAATCTTGTATAATCCAACATTGATGAGACTGAATTCTCGGTTTTTTGCCCCTATCAGACAGGAATCACATGTGGTGTTCTCATATTGGTCAATTAGAAGTGGAATTTTGCATACATTGGTTAAACCAATTGTTCTTTTTTTTCTATTAAAATACAAAGGTGACATTTTTGAGAGCAGATTTCAAAATTGCTAATGGTTTGTTTTTAAACACTCACTGTAGAGAGATAGTAAATGCACAGTTTTTAAATAGAATGTGTTATTTTTCTCTTTTCCTGCTATCATGTTGGGCAGCTGTATTTCCCTCGGCATATCAATCACATGTGAACATGCATACCAAACAACAGAAAAAAAAATAAAGCATCTGCTTGTTTTCATTTTGCAGGTGTCGACACCAAGATCACAAATGTCAACGTTTCAGTCAAAACAACAGGGTAAATACATGCGTGTAATGCTTTTGAAAATGATTCTCTGAGAAGCTCGTTTTACAGGTAATTTGCATTTTACACGTGTAATTACTGTAGCACTTCTGTTTTCTGTTTGTTGCTGCAGATACCTGGGTTTATCTATTGATGGAAATCCCAAGGTATTTGATCAGTTTGTTCTGCAGCATAGGTGCAACTACTTCTGTGGCCTGCTTGGGCTAAAGTCTTTGAAGGTCATTGACTCATTAAGCATGCCGGCAAGAGCAAAGGGCTCCAAGAGCCCCTTACTGCAGCGAAAGAAGGTTATCGGTTCTTCCAGCCCACAAACCACAAGGAAAGCTGCCGGTAGCCCCAGGATACCCAGGAAGGCTGAACATGAAGACAAGAAGACTCATTCACAGGAAAAAGATTCTGATGCTTCCAGAGAGGTGAATAAATTGCAGACCTGACTCCCAATGTATTCCACTGGATCTTTTAATAAAACTAGTAGCACCACAGAAGTCCCTGGATGGAGGTAAAAGAAGTGTTATCTAACACCATTCCTTGCCCTATGATTCTAGCTATGGAGCACCTTAGTTACATGCCACATTTATATTTATTCTTTAGTTCTGTAAGAGGCAATGGAGTCCATTTATGAATGTATTATTTTTGTCAGCTGAGCACCAAAGAAAACAGGTTGCAGAAGCTAAACATAGGTCAGTATACTACATACCGTAAATATGATTTGTAAACCTACTCAAACTAGAGATGTTCTACTTGTAATATCTTTACCACTTTACTTTTGTTACCATTCTTATCAGCTTAAGAAGTAAAGAGAAGATCCAGCCTACAAAGCATTAAATCATTCACAACAGAACAGGAGTTATGATTTACATTTTGTTATAAAAATATATGAGATTTAATAGAGCTTTATGGCACGTGATTGGATTATTGGCATTATTACGTAACCTGAGATGTTTCCTTGCTGTCCTTCTTTGCACTTTGCGTTTTTAAGAACTACTTTTTTGAATGTGTCTCACTGTATTGTATAATAAAATAAATGATCAAACTCATTTGTTCAGAGATGATTGATCAAATGGGTGAAACATAGCCTGTGTTATATGAACTTCTTCTTGGATTATCTATTCACAATATGCAAACAGTTTACACAGACATTTTTAGGACTACTTCTACTAATTCTGTGGCCTTCTTGGGCTGAAGTCTTTGAATGTCATTGACTCTTTCAACATGCCGGCAAAGCCAAAGGGCTCGAAGCAACACCTTTGACTTTATTTTCTCTTACTAACAATGGGTTACTCACTACTAAAAACTACTTCTATCAACCACCAAGTAGACTTGCCATGTGAGCTGAATAATTCAGTCTTCATGATGCAGAAATCATTTTATTTATAAGATGTTTTTAATTGTCTCATTTTTACAGGGAGACTATAAGTAGAAACTTCTGAAATGTCTTGCTAATTCTCATTAGAGTTGTTGCAAATTTTGACTCTGTTGGAGGCTATTCCGGAGAGGTGTGCAAGTTTTTTTGCACCCTGAGAAACAGAAATGCACCCAAGCATAAATTTATCTGGCCCTAGTTCTCACTTTTGATTAGAAATAGCCTGGCAATAAAACAGATCCAACACCTCTTATCTAAAGAAAACGTCCTTTTTTTGTCATCAATTAGCTGTTGTGGAGAACAAGGCCAGTCAGTTATAAATTGGACTTTAAAAAACATTTAAATAAATGATTGCATTTTTAAGTAGTTGGATGATTGCAGATCCAAAACTACTGACACCAGATAATGTAAGCATTAATCTGAAGCAAAATTCACTTATTTCAGGACACCAAATGCTGTACGGTAGCTGCCGTTGTATGGCTTTCATGTAATCCCTATGAGTCAGTTAAAAACATCGACAAAAAAAAATTGATCCCAAAGGGAGTGTATCTTCTTTACATTTTTTTTCCTTAGCTGTTGTAGGTGTAGCTGAAGGGAGGAAGGACCTTCTGTGTTGGTCTGTCTGTCATCAGAAGCCTTTAACTGAAGACACTCTGTTGTTGTTTAACACTCTGATGAAAATGATGCTCTATGTTGTCCATAATGTTCTTCGTTTAATCAATAATTCTTCTTTGTGAAATCTCCAGAGGTTTTAGAAGAGTTCCTAGAAGTCTTTTTTATCAGCTTGTTGAGCTTCTTTACCCCAGCAGATGACGGCAGGTGAGATCAAACTCTCCACAACAGACTGATAGCAGTTTTATTTATTTTTTTAAGCTGCAGCATCTTGATGCAAATACTGAAGCATTAAAGCTTCCTTAGAAAACACTTTTAGATTTGCAGTAAGTTAAAATGTAAAATCCTAAGATCCTTAAGATTTAATCAACTAAAAGGTTATTATAAATCAGCATTAAAGAGCTTAGTAGCAGAAAGACACAAAACAAATTCTAATGCAAATATTTGAAAATGAATTGTCTTGCATGTTCAACTTATTTACAGGGTGAAATGAACTTTATCATGTTAATTATATGTGATTTTTCAGTCACTTGTGAGTCATTGCTTATGTAAGTGGTGGCCTCTAACACACACACCGACACACAGACCAGAGCTGGAAAGTGGAATTTATGCAAAGAAGGGCATGTAGTGTCATGCCAGGTGGATTTTTACAGATGAGGAAAATCACATTATTTAGGTGTGAAGTAGCTGGCTCCAGCGTTGCACATATGGTCTATCTTTAATGCTGGAGCACCAGCATGTAACTATTGATTAGATGCTATTACAAAATCAGTGCGAGGCACAGTTTCTATCAAGCCAGTGATGTAGATAATAAGCTTTGGAATGTTAGAATAAATATAGAGCACAGTAAACATAATATCATATTTAGATATTACTTTCATGGGTCAATAAAGTGCACAGAATATCAAATATAAAAACAAGAGAAAACCTTTTATTCTCTTTCCTTACATTTGGCAAGTCTAGGTAAGAGACTATAGTAGGTCTTATTTTCAAGAACCAAGACCCTCTCCTCCTTCTATAGTTTAGTAGAACAAAAGGTAACAATGGGATGTAACTTGAATTAAAAGACAGTAATACAAACCTCACAGGTAGCTCACCTTAACAAATGTTTTAGTACCTTACATACTTGAAATGTTAAGGTCAACATGTGTAACCTTACTGTTTACATTTACGAATTGTAAAAAGAGTACCCTCTTTACCTTCTGTACCTACATATATATATATATATACCGGTATATATATATATATATATATATATATATATATATATATATATATATATATATATATATATATATATATATATATATATATATATATATATATATATATATATATATATATATATATATATATATATATATATATATATATTCTTGAAACAACACTCCTGCCACCTACTGTTGGGTCAAAGGCTAAGCTGTTGGTGAGTCATAGCACTAGACAAGTGGACACTTTACTCACACTAAGGTTCACAATTCATCTTCAAAATAATCTGAGATTATTTTTTTAAACACTTCAAAACATGAGGTACAGCCTAACAAATGAGAAATACCTTAATTCAGATGTTTCCCCCAATACATTGATATTTTAAGGAAAGCAGAGTGATTGCTGGGAAAAGATCCATTAGCACAGCTCCTCATGACTACTCATGACTAAATGGGATCAAACTGGGTGATCTCAGCATTAATACTCATGATAAGATGAGGCAAATGAAAGAATTGTTAGTCCTCAACAGCAGGAATCCGACAAGCACATCCAGGGCAAATTAATTCTTATCAAATTTAGCAGGACTAATAATAATGTTGAGTTTATGGGATTATCTTGCGCTTGGCATGCAAGTCATTGCCCCATTAAACATGCCTTGCCTCAAATTCTGGTACATTATGACACAACATGTATAACTATGCTTAAAGGATTTCTTTGTGAAGGATAATGAAACCGACTGAATGAGAATGGCATAGTCTGTTTAGGCAGTCAATTGTTATTTCAACTATAAAGACTGTAAAACCTTCATGAACGCGATATTAAAAAAACAGAAAAAAACATGACAACAAAGAAACACATGAAAGACTAGCCGTGAATCTGAACTCTCATTGTTGTACCTAACTGACCTTAATTAGCATCAGTGGACCACAGCGGCTGTGACCATTTAGGGAGATTATATGAAAAGGATTACAGGTTCCTAAATGCCACAGACTAGCTGGCATTTGAGAAAAAGTTTTATCTCTACAGCTCCAAAAGTCGCATGCTGCCGCTGGTCTCGGGCCATCACTAGTTGACCGTCGGTGCCGTATTAGTTCACCACATAATGGAAAGCTGTTGCTGATTAGGAAATAATGACTTTCTGATACCTATCTTCATAATTTTCTGCCACAAGAGAGTATAAAGACTCAATATGAATATAATTTTTATGTTGTAGTTTGATGAGGAAAAGAGTGATAATACCACAGTGAATAATCAGCGATAAACTGTACATTGCAACATAAAAAAGCTATATTCTAGGTTGGACAACCTTTACTCCATTTTGTGGTGGTAAAATATGGGAATTACAGAAAATGACAAGGAATACTTTTTTCTCATCCTGCCTTCCAACTAATAAATGGCTAACACTAGCTTAGCAGTCAATCAAAGATCTTCCTCTGTTGTGTGAATTTTGGATTCCATCTGCTGGCAAACTAAGGTACAAAAAAATGTTCTAGATTCAAAAACCACATATCTATAAATCTGTTGTTATGAATTTTCAAACACTAATTTAAGGCAACATTTACTGCATTGAAAAAAAATCTTTTTTTGTTTTGTTTTTTTGCCGTGCTATTATTCTAGGAAGGAATTCATTTTCACTAAATTAGAATATTATTGGAAAGTATAATCATTTAAAGAAGAGCACATTCTACACTGTAAGTAAATACACACAGAGTGATGTTATGCATCCTTTATTGTTGTTAATTATGATAATTTTCATTTAAATAAATAGAAGAAAAGACCAGTAAAATTATTGTTGATACACAAATACTAATAAAATAAAACATGTTTAATACTGTACCTGCTAAAGGTTTTTTTATTTAGTCAAAAAATGCATCCTTGGTAGTATTGACTTTGACAATATGTCATTAAAAAAACATTAGTGCATAAGTTAATGTAAAGAGAGCACATAAAAAATAATATACGAATACGTAATACGCATATGAAAAATACAGCATGCAAAAAAAAATAAAAAAATCTACTCCTACTGGCTCAAATAATAAATCCAAGCTCTATGAACTAGAGCTTTCCTTTATTTTCCTTAACCCTGTGTGAAAGCCTCCCTGTATTTTCTGATTATCTTGTCAAATATCTCTAAAGAATGGAGACTGGAAGGAAAAGAGGTAGAGGAGAAGAGTCTGAAGCCCATCGCATTAAGCTTTCTGCCATTTAATTGTAATACTTTAATTAACTTAAACAATCTTGCCTAAATTGCAGACCTTAGTTTCTCCATCGTCCAGTGGTGATGCTGCCATTAGTTTTATCTCACCAGATCCAGATACCACATTTCTATGCATTTGCCTATTGCAGTTTTCTTCTAAGGTGCTGTAATTTTTTTGTACATGTATAATTCCTTTTAACTGCATATTACCGTATTTTCTGGACTGTAGCGCACACCTCACCATAAGCCACACCCCCTAAGTTTAAAAAAACTTAGTGTCATGATCTGGCCTGTTTGCTCTCCCTTAATTAGTCATTCCTTTCACCTGTCGTTTTCCCTCCCTGCTTCAATTATAATTTATTCCTCTCACCTGTTTCCTCTGGTTTATATTCAGTTCAGCCTGAGCATTCAGTGCCAGATCATTACTTGTCTTTCTGTCAGTCTGTCTATTTCAGTTTTAGTTCATGGTTCATGTCCTGGATCCTGGCAGCCAGTGGAAAGAGGGTTTTTGTGTTTGTCTCGTCTCCTGATCGTCCACTGTTCCTCCCCCTCGGAGTCCTCTGGGTTTTTGGCTCAATATGTGGGGAGGTTCAGATTTTATCCAGTAAGCCTGGCTCCAGGGAGGAGACCAGTTTAAAGTCATGCATCAAGTTCCGGTTCAACGTCCTGTCTCGGCTACCCTCTTCCACTGAGCCTGCCTGTCTGCACCTGATCCTGTGTGCTCCTGTGCGTGACCAACTGGTCATGCTTCTGGTCCCAGTCAGACTCTGAACCCTCCTGGGAGCCTGTGGATGCCTGGAAGTCTAGATCCTGCCCCCTCTTTCTGTTCCTGCCTGATCTGGTTCCTGTCCCTGTCTGTTCTTGTCTGTTCTGGATCCCTGACCAGGACCGGCTTCCAGCATGTCCTCGGGGATTGCAGCACTTGGGGACATTCCAAGACTGGTCTGTTAAACCAGGTAAGTGGCCAACTCAGATAATCATCCTTTGTCAGATGATCGTGGTCACTTACCTGTGTTTCTCCTGCAGAGTGTCTGTGATTGAGCGGTGCCCGGCTCCCCATCCTGCAGTGTCCGCAAGCCAAAGCTCCACTTTTGTTTTGTTTGTTTATTTAATAAACGTTTTGAACTTTCCTACTGACTGTCTCTCCTTGAACACTGGGTCCCTCTGTCCCTGGTTCATGACACTTAGGGGGTTCAGCTCTGCATTTAATGCAGCAAATAAATGTCAAAATGTATA